CGTCCTTCCCGCAGCCTGGCCAGGCAGTGGACTCTAGAGGATGAGGAGGAGCAGGAGCGTGAGCGCCGGCGGCGGCACCGAAATCTGAGCTCCACCACGGACGACGAGGCTCCCAAGCTTGCCCAGAATGGAGACGCACCGGCTGCCCAGAGGTGCTCGGGTCAGGGTGGGGGGACGAGGCACCATTTCCCTCTCCCAGGTGACCGGGATGGACTTAGCTGCCCCAGACAGACAGCGTACGACAGGTTTGGCCTGCCTAGCCAATGTGATGGTCTGAAGATAAGCTTCCAGCTCCTCACCCTCCCTAGACTCTTGTCCACACACCAGTCCCCAACCTCTTCGGAAGCAGAACACGGGCGACTTGCTGAGATCGCTTACCCAGGGAGTGGCAGGGCCAGACTTCTCGTCCACATCTCTCAGTGTCTGGCTTAACCCTTTCCATAGCCCACGCTGCCTCCCTGTCCCCCTGACTCTCCGTGATTCGCTCCTGGGGGAGGGACACGGGGGCTACTCTCGCCGCCTAGATTTTAGGGCTATGAAGGAAAGCAGGTCCCCCGTGTGCCAGGGCGGTGGTGGGCACTCGCAGGGAAGGAGTCTCATTTCACCCAACAAACCCGGTTTGCGGATTGGGAAGCTGAGGCGCAGACAGTGAATTAACTTGCCTCAAAGCACACGGAGGGCAGGGGGTGAGGGAGGAAAAGAATCTCCTTTGGCTGTAGGCCAAGTGCTACAGGTTTTGGACAGTCTCCTCATGTTACTCTTGTTCCCTTGGGCCTCCCGGGCGAAGGGACAACTCGGTGTGTGCCCCGGGCCATGCCAGGCCCGTGGCTGCCACGTGACTCACAGGAGTGCAGGGTGGCCTGTGGGAAGCTCTGGGTTCTACTCCCATTCCACCGTGCCTTGTCTGGGTGACCTTTGACACATCCCTGAACGTCTCTGGTCTTGATCTAAGCTCTGAGGGGCAAAGACTGCATTTATTCCCCTTGCCCTCCAACGCCCAGCATGGGGCCGGGCACCTATAAAGTAGCTGTTCAGTGTTTGTTGATTGGGTCTGAACATGGAATAGTTGGTCCTTACAGAGGTTTATCAACTTTTTAAAAGCATGGAGTGCTTTGTTCAGATGATTTCCTGAAAACCCATATGTAAAGCAGGTAAAAGCGATCCTTATTTAAGTGATAGTTGGGGGGTGCGGTAGGCCAGTGCTCTACCTCCTCACCCCCTCCCTGGCAGCCCCAGAAGCTTCTCCACTGGGTCAGTTCGCCCCAGGGTCTCTCCACCTCTGATAGCCTCTGATTCTTATTTCCCACCCCATCTTCCATCTTCTGGCCTAGACTGCTGAGCGTGGAGGAAGCAGAGGTGCCCAAGCCACGAACCTCAGCCTCTAAAGATGAGGAGGACGACACCCAGGCCGTACTCAGGACCCGGCAGGAGCGGAGGCAGAGGCGGCAGATAGTGGATGCTGCACAGGCCCCCAGCCCGCCGGAGGCACAGGAGCCAAGGGACAGCTCTGGCCCAGGGCAGGCCAAGCAGCAGCCCCTCGTGCCCAAGAAGGACGGGGAGCCGCCACCTCGCCGGAGACTGAGCCGGGAGCAGCGGGGCCCCTGGGCCAGGGAGGAAGAGAGCTTGGCGGGCCGCGAGTCCGAAGGCGGGAAGAAGGAGGTCTCAGAGAAGCCGGCAGTCTCGGAGAAGCCCCCCGTCCTGGGGAAGACATTAGTACTTGGGAAGAGACTGGTCTCGGAGGAAACCTCCATCTCGGAGAAGGCTCTGGGCCCTGAGAAAACATCTGTGTCAGAGAAGAAGTCAATTCTAGAAAAAACAAGTGTGTGGGAGAAGCCGCCGGCCCCAGGGAAGACTTCAGACATGGAAAGGAGAATAGTTTCTGAGAAAGCATCGCTCTTTGAGAAGTCTCTGGTGTCAGAGAAGACCCAGGCCACCGAGACAAAGCTGGCCCCAAGGAGGGCGGCCGCCTCAGGGCAGCCCCAGGCAGGGGGGCAGCCGGCCTCGGCGGGAAGCCACCCGCCCCCCACCACAGGGCAGAAGGGAAGGGCCCTCCCCGAGGAGAGCCCACCATCCTCGGCCAAGCTGGGAGAGCAGGGGGCGCCGGACCCTCCGACTGTGGCTTCCCGCCTCCCGCCCATCACATTCCAGGTCGGCAGTGCCCCCGCCCCTCCCAGGCCTGCACGTGCCCCTTTCGTCCTGCCCCAGGTGGTCTCTGGCTCCCTCGCTGTTTCCTGTCCTCTCGCCATGAGGCTGGCTTGGGCCGTTTCCTCTCCCCCTACCTGCTTCTAGTCTCTGTCAGAACAGACACTAAAGCAGGGGCCAGCCGAAAAGGGCATCAGCTGTGTGACAGAGAGCACCGCCACCCTGCACCCCATCCTCATCCAGGGCCTGGATTTCAGGACACCAGCAGCCTTTTGGGAAGCCGCAGGTCCTTCCAGAAGTTCTGCTGGAAAGCTCTGTCTGGTGGCCCGGAAAGCTCTGTCTGGTGGCCCGGCCCCACAGAACCATGACCACCATCCCCACAGCAGAGGCGGAGAGGCGGGAGGTCCCAGAGGAAGGCATAGGACTGTTTTCTCCCCACCCCCCCTTCCTCCTGCAGCTCCTGGGATGAGCCAGGCCACATGGGGTCCCCATGGCGGCTTGGGCTTTGGGCTTCCCAGACCTCCTGTGTGACACTCCCCCACTCCATCCAGGTGAAAATCCCCAGCAAGGAGGAAGAGGTAGACACACCCTCGCCCACCCAGACCACCTACAGCAGCTCCCTCAAACGCTCCAGCCCCAGAACCATCTCCTTTCGGGTGAGAGCCCAGGGCACCTTTTGTCTCCAGTCCACTGGAGGGCAAAAGCTGGGGAATTCAGCATTTATTACAGCATGAGGGCCTTAGGTTAGATATCAAGTGGATCCTTTGGCTCGAGAGGGGTTTTGGATTCCCATGGGTGGCCAAGAGCAGATGACTGGGATTAACTGAAGGAGAGCAGGTTAATGACCCAGCAGGTGGGTGTGGATGAGACTGAGCAGCCCCACCTAGTGGGCAGGGCCGGAGCTGCAGGAAGAGGGCACCGGGCGGGTTCAGTGGCAGGGGCCCCACACCTGCCTTCATTAGTTCCCGATCTCACCCAGGAGGCTGGCACAGGGGGAAGGGTAGGGGCTGAGAGCAGTGGGGCTCTCCTAGAGCTCCGTGCTCTGCCTCTGCTCCAGTAGTACAAGTTGTGTGGACTGGAGACTCTCATCTCACCTTCTAGTATTTACTCTCAGTTCCTTGGTTCGCTGGGTGGTTCATTCAGTTTTGACTGACTGTGCTTTGTGCCCCTGATGTGTGCCCAGCCCTGGGGAGGAAGCTGGAGGCCTGGTGTTGATCGGGGCTGGTCCCTGCCTGGCAGGGCTCATGGGCAGTAGGGAGGTGGACAGGAAAATAGATGGTTGAGGTGGGGGGTGGGGCACAGGAGGGGCTTTTGACCCAGCCTGGTGGGTGGGGGCAGGTGTCTCCCAGACAAGAGGAAGGCCTTTAATGGAGGTTTGGTTGGGGGTTGGAGGAGGAGGAGGAGTAGGAATATTCAGAGAGGTGAGCCCTTACCTTGTGGAAGGCCCTGGCCTCCTTGGGACTCTCACTCATCAGAGCCTTTCCTTCTTGTTTCAGATGAGCCCCAGGAAAGACAACTCAGAAACAACCTTAACCCGCAGGTCAGGGGCCTGGAGGCTCTGGCTTTGTCTGATCTGGTCACATTCGGCCTACGTGTGTTGAGCGCCTGCCGTGTGTACTCCCAGGCGGGGCCACAGGGCACCTGAGGGGAAGGTGCCGTCCTGGGCCAGGGCTCCAGGTCCTGCAGGGACACTGGACTGACACGAGGGTTGGAGGCCCAAGGAGATGGAACAGGGAGGGAAGGGATCAGGGAGAGCTTCCTGGAGGAGGCAGGGCTTGGGTGGGGCTCTGAAGGTACAAGAAGTTGGGGTGGAGAGGAGGAGGGCCTCTTAGGAGGACTGTAAAGAGTACAGGGGAGGAGAAGCCTCTGCTTTAGCAGGCCTGATGATGGGGGGCCTGGGAATCCACATGTTCCATGAGCATCCCCGTGCCCCCTAATTTTGATGCAAGTAGTTTAAGGACTGTTTGTTTGTTTGTTTGTTTTTTAAGATTTTATTTATCTACTTGACAGAGACACAGCAAGAGAGGGAACACAAGCAGGGGGAGTGGGAGAGGGAGAAGCAGGCTTCCCGCAGAGCAGGGAGCCCGTCGCGGGGCTCAATCCCAGGACTCTGGGATCATGACCTGAGCCAAAGGCAGACACTTAACAACTGAGCCACCCAGGCGCCCCAGGACTGTGTTTTGAAAGAAAGAAACTGAAATGGGGTCTGAAAAGCAGTTGTGCTTATGTATTAGGAATTTCATGCACTCGTGCTGTGTCCATCTGCCCCTACGCATTTGTGGAGGCCGGCTGTCCTGGGCTAGGCCTGGGGTGACGGTGGCGGCAGGGGGGCCCACAGATGAATGAGACATGGCTGCTACTCTCTAGCATCTCACGTGGGCCAGTAAACGTGCAGGAGCCCCTCAGCAGGGAGGTGCAGGGACAGGAACATGGCCCCGGAGTGGCAGCAACAGCCCAGCCTGCGGGAGCCAGAGGATATGTCACAGAGCAATTGACTTCTGGGTGGGACTTGAAATAGAGGGCCCAGCAACAAGTAAAGGCACAGAGGGTGCAAAGCGTGAGGTATCCGGTTAACTGGCACATAAGCATGTGGAGAAGGGGGTTGGGGCATCGGGGGGACGCTGGTGTCAGGAGGGGAGGCAGGGACCAGACCGTGAGAGCCTTGTATGCTCTACCAGGGAGCTTGGTCCCTGCCCCGTGGCCTGAGAGGCTTGAGCTGGAAGGACAGGGTGGGCTTTGTTTGGGGCGGGAGCGGTGGCGGCAGGAGGGGGAGAGCTTGGGGTGGCAGGCCGAGGAAGCAAGAGGAAGGTGGCTGCGGTGGTGGGGAGGGTGGGGGCGGGGGAGATTCAGGAGACTGGTGAGGGGTGAGGTGGGAGTGACAAGACGGGGGAGGAATGGCGGATGTTTCTGACCTTGGGGGTGTCCTGCTGAGTGGGATGTTTCTAGGGAGGTGAGGAAGGTCCCTGGACTTCTCTAGTCGATTTTCACCTTGGCCAAGCCATTAGAGTCTCGTTCAGTGAGGGAGGCCGTCTTCTCTTTGTCCAGAGGGTGGGTGGGCACTACTTGGGCTCCGGGTGGGCTGAGGGCAGAGGTCTCACCTGGTTTGTCCTGGCCTGTCCTGGTTTGTCCTGCAGCGCCAGCATGCGGCTCCCGGCTGGCACAGTCAAGTTAGGGGAGAAGCTGGAGAGATACCACACGGCTGTCCAGGTGGGCAGGGCTCCTGCGGAGGGGCCTCGGTACCTGACTGGCTTGGTGGGTGTGGCCTGGGCGCCTTCACCTCTGTGGGTCAGCCGTTTGTGTTCTCTGTTTCCAGAGATCAGAATCAGTCAAGTCTCCTGGCTCCTCCCGCACCGAGTTCTTTGTGGCTCCCGTGGGCGTAGCCAGCAAGCGCCACCTCTTTGAGAAGGAGCTGGTAGGCCAGAGCCGAGCAGAACCGGCCTCCAGCCGGAAGGTGAGGGGCTTAGGCCCATCTGGATGTTTAGGCTGATTAGGCCTGAGGCCTCCAAAGGCAGAACCGGACCCTGGCCATACTAGAAAGCTCCGTGTTTTCATGTGTCCATTTAGGCAGAACCTGCCATTGACTCAAGTTGCCACGCACGAGCCCATCTCCTTAGCTGTGCACAGTACTCCCTGGGGGGGTGGGGGTGGGTTGGGGGCCTTCCCGGGTATATGTGGCACGTGCTGGGTGGATATGGGAGCAAGGTAGAATCGTGTCCTTGTGCCAGGGCCCTTTCTAAAGGCACCATGCCGTTAGCAGCAGCTCCAAGCCCTGAGATGCAAGCCTTTCTTTTCAGGAGCACTTGAGGCTTTCAGGGGTTGTGACATCAAGGCTCAACCTGTGGATCAGCAGGACCCAGGAGTCTGGAGATCAGGACCCGCAGGTATGTGGTCCCTCCCTGAGATCTCATGCCATGGGCCTTTCATGGTGGAATGACCTGGGTCAGAGAGGGGGCAGCCCTGAGGGAAATGGAGATGTGCCTGGAGTGGAGACCATGTGGAGTAGGGAGGCCTAAGTCTGTCACCAGGACTTAGAAGAGAGGAGGAGTGGGTCTGGGGTCTTTCCTCTCAGGAAGGGGAGGGGCCTGGGGAATCCCAAGCCCCCTCTGCAGTGTGCCTTACTCTGCCCTAACCCCCCATGTCTCCAACCAGGAGGTGCAGAAAGAGTCAGCAGCCACCAAGAGGACCCAGTGGGGAAAGAAAGACTCCTCCCTGGATGTAGAGGTGAGGGGCAGAGAGGGGCTGGCCCTGGGGAGATCCCGCCCCTGCCCCCACCCCCACCTCTCCAACTGCATAGTCCCAGTACCTGGAATGTCACGGTTCTGCTCTCAGGCTGGTTTGAGCCAACCTCGAGAACACTGGTTGAACCCCTGAGCTGGCTTCTCTGTGCCCGCAGCTCTGCAAAGCCCCTTCAACAAGCAGGTTTGGGGTTTCTGACCGCTGTGGGTGTGGGCCTTGGGCCAAGGGATGCCTTCCTGTCCACAGACCCCCTTTCCCTCTCAGCCCTAGGAGCCTCCTTGTCTTTTCTGACAGACCTCTGCCCCACAGGTGTGACGAGCCCTGCCAGGATGGACCCGCAAGTCTGCATCTCAGGGGCCCTCCGTCAGGCTAGGCCCTGCCACCAGCAGCAGCCCTGTCGCTCAACCCTGCTCCCTCTCTGCCTCTGGACCTGGAGCCAGGAGTGTCCGGGAGACTCAGCCACCTCCTTCCCAGTCTAGCGTCTGTGGGCAGGTGTGCCCTGGCCCCTTCTCGTCCCACTGCAGGCACAGCGGGGGTGCAGCACCAGCTCTCGTCAGCACCGTGTGGCCTCCATGTCCTGTCTGGAGGTGGCTTCTGGGCCCTGCTCACGTCCAGGGGCAGGGCGGTGCTGTCTCTGGAGAACTCCAAGATTCCCCCTGCAGTGTGCCTCCATGTGCCTGTGATGTCTCTCCCTCACTGAGGCCTGGAGCCACACACTTCAGTCCCTGGGGCCTGCCTCCAGCTTGCTGAGGCCCGTCGGGCCAGATTGTCCAGGCGCTGCCCTGTGTCTCCCGTGTGCCCTGTCTCCCTGCTTCCTTTGCCTCTCGCTTCCTTGGCCTGCTGCTCGGCCAGGAGCTCGGTGCCGTTCTGTGCACCCCTTCACCCTCTTTCTGAAAAAGCTGTTCTCAGGAAAGAGCTGATAAACTCATTCACTCTCAGGTGTGACTAATAAGACCTTAAGAATGGATTCCTTCCTGGAGGACTTGCTTTTGAGCAGGGTTGCCTGCAGTGTGTGAGGAGGATTGTTGTGACTGGACGGGGGGGCCAGTGGTCGTTTTCCCTGCAGCCCCACTTTTTCTCACGTTGAGGTGCGCGGCCACCTGGTCCTAGCTTAGTGGCTTGGCGGGGGGCTGGGACTACAGTGCCACGCCTCCGCCACGCTTCCCCAGCGCGGTCTCCCAACAGCCTGTCCTCCCCGCCCCCAGTGTCGTGGCCCATGTGAGCTTGGAGAAGGCTGAGCTCTCTGAGCATCTAGGACAAACCAAGCTCAGTCTGTCTGGTGCTCTGTCAAACCCCTTAATGCTGTAATTTAAAAAAAAATGTATGTGTGTGTGTGTGTACACACGTGTGTGTATATATACATATATGGATATCCATCTATATCACACACAATTTTTATACTCTATACTACACACACATTACACATACACTATATACACACACACACACCTATTTTTCTTTCCCCATTTGAATTTGATTAGAACTCTTCTTCCTGACTGCTCTGGTTTTACCCAGAACCAGCTGGGGAGGGAGGGAGGGAGAAGTGCAGAGCCCTCCCCGCTTCCACTTTGTCCCCTGTCCCCGGGCATACCTGGAAAACCCCAGGGTTTCTCAGAACACAGCCCTTAAGGGCATCACCAGGCCTTAGTTCCCCAAGCTTGTGGGCGCTGACACACCAGCCAGGGACTACCAGCCTTGTCCCAGCCTCTGTGATTATGAATGAGGGCTCCTGTCTTGGGTCCTTTGGTCCAGGGGACAGAAGGCGCTCAGGGCCTCATCTGTGCAGACCTCCCAGTGATCCCAGGCTGGCCCACCTGCAGCTGGTGGCTGGTCCCGAGCCTGCACTGAGCTAGGGATAGTGGGACCTGGAGGGCCCGTCCTGCACCCCACTTATTCCCCCAAGGGTGGGAGCTTTTGCAAGAGCTCCACCTCCAGAATTTGAGGACAAAACCAGCATTGCCCAGGGACTCAAAAGGACCTGCTGGACTCAAGGTTCAAACAAGGACCTAGGATTTTTGGATGCTCATGTTCTCAAGTTTGGGAAGTCTCCTGGCAGGTGAATTTGTTCTGCAGGCAGAACTGTCCTCACATAGATCTTTCTTGGGAGAGGCTCCCAGAAACCCTCCTCCAGAGTGGAGGCCTGGGTGGGGGCAGAGGGGGCTGGCTTGGGCTGGGGTGTCTGGGGGATCCTGGTGGCTACTTCCTCAGGGTGTTGAAACGCTTCACACCTGCACATCCTCCCTGGGGTGACCATCAAGGACAGGCCGCAGGGTAGAGTGTTGGGGGACATGACCCCGTGACTCCCTGTCCTTTGCATTCATGCCTCCCTTCTTCCCTTCCCCCACAAAGAGGCCCTGACCTCATTCCTGGCAGGGGGACAGCCACCCGACAAGGAGCCAATTACATGCACAAGATGATTTCAGCTGGGGACAGGTGTGAGGACAGTGCAGCATGCTGGTGACTGGATGGCTATGTGGGCAGGGGAGGACTCTTGGGGGAGGTGACATTGAGCACCCTCTGGAGAGAGAAGTCCCCCTACCCATATACCTACCACTCCTTGCCTGGTCTACTCTCCTGCCCTAGTGTCCTTGGGACCCCACACATGGCCTGCTCTCTTGTGGGTCCTTAAAGTTGCAAGCAGTGTTCTAGTATATGCTTCTTCCAGTAAAACTCTGGGTAAGCACCATCTCTTTGTTTCCTCTTCCCTTCCACCATTCGCTCTAGGAGGGAACTCATGTATCTGTAAGGACAGGGCACCCACGACAGGCTGGGGGCAGCCCTGCCTTGTCAAGGTGTGGCTGCTGGAAAGCGGCTGGATTTTCTCACTGCCTGCCTGTCCCTCTGCTTCTCTGAATTAAATCCCTGCTTTAGAACAGTTAGTAAAAGCCTCACATGGTCCCTGAGCGCCAAGAACCTATTGGATTTTTTTCGGGGGGGCTTTGGTGATTTAGGTGCTCAGGTTCCTCTCCCAAGCATCTGCGCAAACAAATTATGGCCTTTTTGAAGGACTGTTGGGCTTACGAGGAACAGTAACCGACTGAAAGTGGCTCAAGTGAAGGGAAGGCCTAAGACAAGCAATCCCTAGATTCCAGGAGATTCCAGGCCAGGACACAAAGCAAGGCTGGGCCCCAGTGGGCTAGATAGGAGAGCAGCACCATAATGCTTTTCCTCCTCCTCTCAGGGACAGCCTGGCTGTTCCCTGTTCCTCTGTCAGTCTGCTCCCCCCACCTGCCCCCCCACCTCCTCTCTGCTGGCCCATGCCCCCTGCTCCCCCAGGATGCTGTCTGGCAGGCCCGTGGCCCCGGCTCGCCCTGCCACAGCTCTGCTGGCCGCCTAGAGGGGCTCATGGCGGGATAAGCCTAGAGGTGGGGCATCAGACCACTGGGCTCTGAGGCCACTGGGGACCATGGAGGGGGCAGTTTCAGCTGAGTTATGGGGCAAGAGTATGACAGCGGAGTTGGGGAGCCGCAAGTGGAAATCCCACATTCTCTCAAGAACGGTGGCGGTGGGCACAGCAGAGTAGCTCCCAAGGCAGCAGGACTGAGAAGAGAGTCCAGGACTGGGAGGCTTGGATACGTGGTCAGGTGGGGGGAGGAGGCCAGGAAAGGGGGAGACTGGCTTTCTTCACGCACGGAGAAACAGACAAGAGTGCGCGTCACTGATGGGCAAGATCTGGGAGGGCCGGGAGTTTCAGAGCTCAGGGGCGCACGGGAGGAGTGGGCCTGGCCCAGAGGAGGGATGTTCCTTCTTCAGAGGTAGGGGAGAGGCCTTGGAGACTCAGAGACATTGAAGGGGAGCGTCAGCTCGGACTTGCTTTCCGCCCCCAATTTCCATCCTGTATTGAGCCCCAGGATGTCTTGGGCACTGTTCTAGGGGCTGTGGACGTGCAAGCCAAGCACAAAACCCCTGGATCCTGGCCTACGGATCTTACAATCTAGTAGGTTTAGCAGATCGTGGTCCCGTATTCCTTCATCTTCAAGCCTTAGGGGGATGAACTTCAGCGGTCCTCATGGCCCCCTCAAACAACCCAGCTGCCTGTCTGAGGAGAACCATCATTCCTGATTAGAAGTTCTACCTTGTGTCTGACCCCCTGGAGCAGTTTTAGTTCCTTCCCAGTGAGGAGGGCTTGTCACATGGCTCTAGGGGGCATGGAGCGGACCCACGTTGCGGAAGTCCTCACTGAGGCCTGCCGAGCCTGCCTGCTCAGCCCAGTAGAAACAGCCAGTAGCCTGGAAGACGTCTTTCCCCACAGCATCATTGTCTGTGTAGCTGCAGATAAGGCCCTTCCCTCTGCCCACCAGACCTCCCTGGCCCAGAGACTCATGAAGTGTCTCGGAGGTTGCCATCTGCCCCCCAGCCCTGCTCCCAGCCTGTCTTCCGAGGCCTGGGCCTCTGGCATCTGCTTTATCAGGATTCTTAAGAGGGATAGCTGGTTTCTGTTCCATGCCTGCTCCCTCCTCTCTTGCCTGCGTATCTGCTCTGGTTTTAAATAGCTTATCTGAGCAGCTGGACAACCACATGGGCTTATATGGCGTGGGCTGCATGTCCCTTTAGCCCTGTCCCCGGCACCTGCCAAAATAGCAGCCAGCACCCCCCACGCCCCCGCCGTGTCTCCGGCTGCACATCCCTCCCACCGCAGGGCTTGGCTTACAGGGCCCCAGCCCACAGGCCTGCTTAAAGCCCTCTCCATCCCCTGCCCTCACCCAGTCCCTGCTGAGGCTGAGCAGATACCTCGGGATCTGTCGGCAGCTCCTGGCTTGAGGTAAGACTCGGGCACGGCTCGAAATGGGGAGAGCAGAGAGGAGAGGGAAGATGTCTTGCAGCCTGGCACCTTTACCAGAGTCTGCCTGCATCCACACTGCGGGGATGTCAGAGTTGCTGGCGGTCCACGTTCCCTCCGAGAAGAAGCCACACTTTAGAGGAGGTGTCGCAGGGATCGGACTGCAAGACTAGCGCAGTAGGGCAGCAGCGACACTCTGTTAGCAGTTAGAGCCTTGGATCTGAGTCCCAGACCTGCCACTAAAGATACTGTGTACCTGGAAAGTCTTGGGTGACTACCTTTCCCTCCCTGGGCCTCAATTTCCTCATCTGTAGAATGGACGAGATAATCGCCAGGCCTCTGCCTGCTCTGAAGACAATGAAGCTCTAAGCAACAGGGTGTCCCCCAGATTGCTTGGCCCCAGCCCTCACCTCCAGGCCCAGGGCCCCCTGAACCTTTCCAGGCAGGTCCTTCTGGATTTAGAGCAGAGCAAGACTGCAGTCGTATCAGTCACAAGAGGGCCTGGTGGTCAAATTCTCATCTCTAGCAAGTCAGCAACTGTCTTGGAAGCATTGAGAAAGAGTACACGTGCAGAGGCAGGCAGGGACCTCTGGAGCAGCTCTGCAAGCAGACAGGAGGCGTTCGTCTGACTTCCAGAGCCAGCACCACCCCCCTCTGCAGAGGGAAAGCACTGCCAAGCAGCATTTGGGGGGCTGAGGGGGAGAGACCCCACCACAAGGTCCTCTCATGGGCTGTGAGCCCAGCACCAGGGGTCAGAGTCTAGCTGTCCCCTGCCCCCAGGGTCTCTGCGAGTGTGACGCTTGCCCCACCTCATCCTGACATGCCCTGGAGGGACAGACCTTGCACTGGGTCTGGGAGTGGCAGAGAAGGTCTTATTGCCTTGATTTTCAGCTTCTCCTGGGCAGGCGGAGCAAACGTCTACGGGAGTGATTGCCTGGAGTGTAAGGAATGTCAAAGCACATTCCGGGCCCTGTGCAGTTGGGAAGCCACCTGACCTCCAGAATTCCTCCTCTGACCCCAGTCTCACAGGGCATGTCCTCTGAGCAGCTTGGGTTACCCACTGGCCCCCCCAACCCTGTCCCCTAGCTCTCCTGGTGGGCTGACAGCTGCAGGTTTGGGAGGAGTCCAGCTGGTTGCTGGGGACAAGAGCTGAGGGATGGGGCCTCCATTCCTCAGAGACTCAGAGACTTGTTTCTGCAAGACGGGAGCTTGAAGCTCCTCTATTTTATAGATAAGCTAATTGAAGCCTAGAGAGATTAAATGACTTAGCTAAGGTCACACAGCAAAAACTGGGTTTTAAACCGAGATCTTTTTTTTTTTTTTAAAGTAATCTCTATGCCAAATGTGGGGCTTGAACTCACGACCCCAAGGTCAAGAGTCTCCCGGTCTACGGACTGAGTCAGCCAGGCACTCCTACATCCAGATCTTTTGACCTTATGGCCATTGTTCTCTCTGCCTTGTACTGTTTTTGACTTACTCCCCCAGGAAGGTGACCCTGATCTCTTGGCTGTGAGGGAGTTTGGCTAGAAAGCGGTCTGTGGAAGCAGGTGAGGGTCTGGGTGTGAGGACACAGCTGCTTTGCACATTCTCATTCCTCGCCTTGCCAGGGTCCTGACTGGGTCTCATTCCAAAGCTGTAACCTCAGCCCATCCCCTACCACTTCATCTGTCTTGCCTTTGGGCCATTGGCTTGGCTGCCTCCTCTTGGGTGAATTCAAGCCCTTCCCTGCTCTCCATCCTCGCTATTTTTAGGAGTTGGATGGTGCTCCCAGGAGCAGGGAGAGGACTCCAAGCTGCTCTTTCTTCCTCTGAGACCCCGAGCCATGGCCGGTGGCTCTGAGCTGGTGGGAGGGCAGGGCAGGAGAGGAGAGAAAGCTAGCGGCCACATGCCCCATGCTGGCATGCGTAGCTCCCCCGAGAAACTTCTCTGTCCTCCCTGAGGTGACAGACTCCTCCCAGGGTGCTAGTCCTGGCTACTGCCCTGGGGCTTGGGACAGTGCATATCTGGGGTTAGGGGGCTATTCTCTTTGGCCACTCTCATCCGAAGACCCATTTGGAGATGCTCTGGAGTTTGGGTCTTTCTTCAGCACAGTGAGGATCCATCCTCCTGCATGACACCATTCACGTCTGCCATCTCTTCTTCTCGCCCACCCCCACCCCAGGGGAGCCAAACCGTGGCTCAGAGTTTCTGTCCAAAGCTCTATGTAAACCCTCCCTCCCTGCCCCCACCCTACTCCTGCAGAGAGAGCTGGGGAGGGCCCTGCCGGGCTACAGGCGCGCTCGTCCTGAACCCAGCAGGACCGGACATCTCTGGAGCAGGTTCAGATGAGCGGCCAGTGCGAGGCTGCCGTGGGCACTGGGTCTGGGGGAGTTCTCCACTCAGAGGGGCAGTCGCGAGCAGAGGCTCCTTCAGAGTCCCTCAGCCTGAAAGTGGCTGCCTAGCAGCAGACATCACCCCACCCCGCCAGAGCAGGGACTGTCACTGGGTGTCCTCAGGTGGGTGCCTGGGGTGCCACTCCAGAAGAATGTGCAGGGAGAGGTGGAGAGGGTGGTAAGCGGTGCTCTGTGGTCCCGTCCCTGTGGCTTGGGTCAGAAGTTGGTGGCTGGCGTGCTGGCTGCTGGTGGGAAAGCAGGCAGGGGCACTCGAGAAGCCTCACTGAGGCGGCCGCCCTCACACCACCTTACCCCATCTCCTCGCTCGGGCAGATGGGCAGCTTTCATGCTGCCCAGCTTTGGGGGGCGCCGTTCACCTCTCAGCCAGTGTGAATGGCGCCCCTGGGCCGTGCGTTGCTGTGGCCCAGGAGGGTTGGGTTATAATAGGTATTCATCAGGGGTCTGCTCCAGGCCAGGTACTTTATTAGCTCTGAGCCCCACAGCCACCCCAGAGGAGGAGCCATTTCACGGAAGAGGGGACTGAGGGGGAAGAAGGTCACAGGCAAATGTGAGATGGAGCCAGGATTCACATCCGGATTTGTCTCGCCTCTCCCTGTAATTGCATGGAAATACAATAAAACCTGACATTGCCTCGTGCCTTCCACTTTCCTTAATGTCCACTTACTCCTCATAAAGATCCCTGAGCCGCCGGGATGTGTATGCTCTACCTCCGTGGTTCAGAGGCGTTGAACAAAGACTTGCCCAAACACACTGAGCAAGCTGATGGAAGAGGGTTCGAATTGTCCTTTCCTATCCCAGTTAAAGGGGTATCTCAGATGGAGTTCCCTGGGCAAACATTCTTTAACTGGAATTTGTATTGATCAGCAGTAGTTTAATGTGCAGTCCTGAGACGATACGGGTCCCATGTACACCTTGCCCCGTCCCCTCAATGGTACATGTGCACATCTGTGGTACGGAGCACAACTAGGACACGGACTTCGCTACAAACCATAGCCTCACGCAGACTTCCCCAACTCGACTTAGACCAGGTGTATGTGAAATTCCCTATGGTTTTAACCTGTGTAGGCTCATGTGTTCATCACCACACTCAAGACACTAGACCGTTCTAAAACCACAGAAGTCCTGTGTGTCTTTTTAAAAATTTTTAAGTATTCTCTACACCCAAGGTGGGGCTTGAGCTCAAC